CATGCACGTAAAAATACGCTGTGATTTAGGAGGTTTCTGGGAGTGCAGGCGGCTGGAATTTATGTCGTCAATACATTTGTGGTTGATACAAATGACTGTCGTGTTGGTACATGCGTGTTGCTATTGGTGTTTGAATGTTTGGGATATATATGAGGACTGTGAACGTCAACATAAACACAGGTACACCCACTTGACTGTGTGTGACGCCTACCCGGTACAGGGGTGGGCTAATAGACCACACAACAGAGAACTGAATTCTGTCTGTTTGCTTACAATAAAACGATACGATATAGTCCGTAATAGCGTTTCCGAGGGGAATGAATGTGTATCAATGTTACACATAGTTCACCTTTTATATTACCGCCGGTGACTCAATACCCCATAAACTAATGTACAAGATCAACATGCCCCCACCATATCCATGTCCCTGCTCATGAACGATAGGCTTTTTATCCAGTCAGTCAGTCAGTTCAATTTAAACCTGTATATCAGTGACAATAAGAATGGGAAAGTGGTTGATAGAACAAGGAGTCTAGTGTTTTTTCCAGTGGTTTTGACCATGTTCTCAGAACCTCTTCCACAGTACTACTTTATTTCGTTTTATTTGTTTGTTTGTTGTTTAACGCCACATTCAGCAATATTCCAGCTATATGACTGTAAATAATCGAGTCTAGATCAGACAATCCAGTGATTGACATCATGAGCATCGCTCCATGCAATTAGGATACGATGCCATGCGTCAACCAAGTCAGCGAGCCTGGCCACCCGATCCCGTTAGTCACCTCTTACGACAAGCATTGTCGCCTTTTAGGCACATTAAGGGGCTAAAACAAGGACTGGTCGGCTCGGAGTCAGTATACTGTGTCTGAGTGGGGTATTCATGTTAAACTGCGGCATGGTATCTCAGTGAGCTAGCACTATAAATCGGCATCACTCCGGACTAGTACAAGCAGCCACACAAACACATACTCGTACATGCACGTCGCTATATAAGTGCAATAATCTTGGACGCGACGTTAAACCCAATTTCACCTCACCTTTCACCTCACCTTTTAGGCAAGCATGGGTTGCTGAAGACCTATTCTTCACCCGGATCTTCAAGGGTCTCTCCATTTCGCAGATGGCTCACTTTGATAAACAATAAACGCGAACGACAAAGTGGGATATTTCCTGAAAGTGAGTAAAGTCGTGGAATGCGTCTATTGGGTCTCAGTGTTGCCATCTGTGCTTCACCGCGTCAGAACATATACCGTTATATTCTAATACATTTTAAATCTTATTGTCCGCCTACAAATTGTTCTAAACACCGAATTGTTTGTCCGCAATATCTTTGAAATCTAACCATTTTAGAGTATGGGGAGTTTGTGTTTTGTCGGGTGATACTGGCCCGTTTCACGTATTTAAGTTCCAAACACCTTTAGATTAAACACGTAAACCTTTCATTCCGTTTTGGATTTACAAACATTTCTAAGCGCTTTTGAGCATGTGCAGCATGTGTATAATACCTGAACAAAGGTTTTGAAGTGTTTGCTTGTGTAAATGCTTTGTTCACTCGAATCGAAGCTTAAAGCTGAATGACTGCTTAGAAACTCGCCTGACGTCCCATGTATGTGTCCTCAGACCTTCACACAGGGAGGGATCCTATCGGAGTAGAAAAATGGATATTAATGAGCTTGTCCTTCTGAGAATTGTCACCTATTCCCGAGGAAAGCTTAAGCTTCACTATCTATTGAACAAATCAGTTTCAAAGAAAGCGCCTTGCTACAAGGACAAGCAGCGTTTGCTACTTTCATTTCCCCGAGAACTCAAAATTCAAGCTTTTCATTTGTTTGAGGTGTGTCACCATCTAAAGTCCAACAGTAAACACCACATAAGAGGCCATTGTTACCTTAACCGAATCTAAGTGATATGTTAGTGGAAAGTAAGTGGTGACAGAAGAAGTGGGAAAAGAGCGGTACATTTACAAGTATCCCGCGGTACATTTTACATACAGGCTGCAATGGTCACTGCATGTTGACAAATCTGCGCTACCAGATGCACTCATGTTCATGTGCATTTTTCAACATCTGACAAATGTGAGCAACATTAGATATATATCATATTATATTAGAACCAAGCACTATCCAATATCTCTCAGCTCTTATTATGTTTTCATGAGGTCGAGGCACGTGGGAAAAGAGTATTTTCAGTTTAAGCAATAAAGAAGGTGAAGATGTCTGTTGACATGCGGAAACATTCTCTCAATTAATATTTTATTTTTGTTAGTCCCTTCTTCCAACTTCTACCTGGTAGTAGTGTAATTATAAGAAATATACTCATAGACACGTTTCATGCCATGAACTTGAACAAATCAATGCAGTCTCGATAAGGTACAATGTATCTACTGTGTCACATGTTCTATAACGCCTATCTAGTTACTGTACTTTAAAAGTACTGATGTTGCCTGGTAGCATATCTATGATGGCATAAACGTTTCTTTCAACAAACAATTTTCAATAAATACGTTCCTCAGAGTTATAAAGTTACTTATATAAGTTCATAATTTACACAAATCTTGGTTTGGAATAAGTTTTACAACAAAATAGCTCAATTGCTTTCACTGAAATGATTTGAATATGAAGTGCTGACGTTAGTTATCCACTGATTTTCCAGTACACTCTACTACTAACAGAAATGTAAACGTAATTGATCATTTCGATGATATATTCTGAATAACAGTATCTGATCTATGTTGTGACCTCGAGTGGTGACGTCCAGTAAAGCAAAGTCAGGGACAGTTGTGACTTGTGCAGCAAGTGACGTTGGATGACGTCATCGTGTCCGTATAGGCAGACTAGCTGACATCGGTTTTGACAAGACTGTGCCTAGCAAGTCTAGGAATTATTAGACATTAGACATAATCCTAACATATATTTCATTTTTTCGAGTGTACGAAATTTTGACCGCGAATGTTAAACCCTATTTCACCTCACTTCACCTCGAGTGTACTTGGGCGTATGTCTTGACTGGTTGAAACTTATGCTAGCAGAAGTACTTGATAATCTTATATCATTTTGTGTTTGGGAATATTCAGATGCTGTAAGTTTTGTCATATTACCAGGATGAGACTAACAATTTGTTTACGCACAACTCGGTTTTTTTCAAAACCTGAGGCAATATTTTTTTCCAGTATGAGTTGGAACAAAATATGTAACAGGACCACAAAGAAACAATGCAAGTATTTAATATTTAGGGGGCTTGTAAAACAGAACCATTACTATGACCATACATAGAGACCCGTGAAGATCAGGGTTAGAATTGTTTTTCAGCAACCGATGATTGTTGTCGCAAGAGGGGGCTGACGGGATCGGGCGGTCAGGCCTCGCTGACTAGGTTGATACTCGTCATCGTATCCCAATTGCATATATCGGTTCTCATGATGTCAATCATTGGACTGTCTGGTCCAGACTCGACAGACCGCCGTCATATAGCTGGGGGTATTAAAGACTTGAAGACCAAACAAACAAACAAATAGATATAGACGTTTGAGTGTTGGTAATAAGCTGGTTATGAGTTCTGAACTCGTTCTTGTAGGGTTTGGTTTGTTGTTTTACGCCGCACTGAGCAATATTCCAGCTATATGATGGCGGTCTGTTAATAATCGAGTCTGGACCAGACAATCCAGTGATTTACATCTTGAACATCGATCCACACAATTGGGATCGATGACATGCATCAACCAAGCCAGCGAGCTTGACCACCCGATCCCGTTAGTCGCCTTTTACAACAAGCATAGTCGCCTTTTACGGCAAGCATGGGTTGCTGAAGCCCTATTCTACCCCGGATCTTCACGGGTCCGTTATTGTAGGGATTGAACTGGGACGTGATATGTCGTCCAATGAATAGATATTCGTGAATAATTACGTTATTCATAGGAATATGTTGCCTTGCCTTTGCTTGTGTTTGTGACGGGTTCTACCGATGGATTCGCTCACATTTTAGCCTTCATCTGATTACCGTCACTATTCAAATAGTGTTGATAGTGGTTTTTACTTTTTTGCTGAGATTTCATATGATTATGGAAAGGGTTAACACAGAGATTGAATTAAGAGACAATTTCTGAAAATGTACGAACGGAAATATTTGTACAACACACTATTCAGCATTAAACATTCAGTGGTGACGTGGTAGAGGAACAATGACAATCCGATAGACTGTTGATCCAAATGTTGTACAAGAGAAAGACGTTTCAAATGACTTTGTTTTATAATGCACGATTTGAAGGAAATAGTTCACCTTGACCTACCTAAACTACCCAGAACACATATGTTTCTTTTGTGTATATCAATAATTGGCATGCTGACTGATACTGTTTTCGAGGTGTTCTCAAACAATAACTTAACCATGAAACTTAAAACTCTTTAATCAATTAAAGGATATAAGATTTTATAGAAGTTCGAATCCTTCGTGGGTTTTTTTCATGTCAATGACGTCGACGTCAACACCAGTTGATAAGAGTAGCTAAATTATGTTGATACCCGTCGATGAGGTAACGCCGCAGTTTTGCTGCTTCAGTTGTACGCTATCAACCAAGTGCCCAAGCTTCTCCGCCGCCATCATATATACTCAACAAAAAATCAAACTAAACACAATGGAAAATCGATTTATTGCATTGGAAACATATATGAAATATACAAATTGTAGAAACACCATGTTTCACCAAAATGGTAAGTGTTCAGTTCGACTGTGACACTTACAGTCCAAACGACGTACCATCGTGCATGTGCATTGTCCTCGTGTTTTCCATGATAGTTTCAGCCCATGAAATACCAGACAAAACACACCAATGAAAAAGCCAAAGTTGTATCCTTTTGTTGCTGTTGTTGAGTATCTGAGTGCGGTGTTACGCAACACACAAACAAGCCGATCGCGAGCTTCTGGCCCCCCGATCCATTCAATTACCTCATACAACAGGCATGGGTTGCTGGGGACCAATTCTAACCTGAAAACCTCAACGGTAATTGGGCCGTGATCACAGGCTGCATTGTATGGAATGTGTCAATCATATTGCATGGCCCCATATAAACAAACAACGACTGCGTGATCCAAGACACACGAGTACGACAGTCCACATAGTCTGATAACTACAGCTGCTTTGGTGCTCAGTAAGTATACACTTATGTTCAGATATAAGTTTTAGGCACAGTAACAATTTAAGGTATTATGTTTTGTCATATTTGTTAATTCACAATTATGTTATTGAATTATGAATAATTCCAGTACACTTGTAGTGTTTTCAATGTTCCTCTTTGTGCCAGCAGAGCTGGGTCCTCAGGATTGTCAGAATCCTATAATCGTGGTTGGAAACATGCCCCGGTTATACTTGTTGGTTTGTCTGAACCATACTGTTTTGAATTTCGCCTACAGTTTGATGAAGTTATGATAATGATAAAGTACGGAAGCGTAGTAGGGCCACGGTGAATCTTTTTTTGTCTAAGTATCTCCTACGTAGGACTTATTATCTCCTACGTAGGACTTAGTATCTCCTACGTAGGAGATAGGAAGTCCTACGTAGGAGATACTAAGTCCCACGTAGGAGATACTACGTCATACGTAGGTGATTCTAAGTCCTACGAAGAAGATACTAAGTCCTACGTAGGAGATGGTGATTCTAGGCTATACTAAGTCCTACGTAAGAGATAGTAAGTCCTACGTAGGAAATAATAAGTCCTACGTAGGAGATACTAAGACCTACGAAGGAGATAGTAAGTCCTACGTGGGTGATAATAAGTCCTACGTAGGAGATAGTAAGTCCTACGTAGGAGATACTAAGTCATACGTAGGTGATTCTAGGTCCTACGTAGAAGATGCTAAGTCCTACGTAGGAGATGGTGATTCTAGGCCATACTAAGTCATACGTAAGATATAGTTAGTCCTACATAGGAGATAGTAAATCCTACGTAGGAGATAGTAAGTCTTACGTAGGAGATAGTAAGTCCTACGTAGGAGATTCGTAAGTCCTACGTAGGAGATAATAAGTCCTACGAAGAAGATGGTGATTCTAGGCCATACTAAGTCATACGTAAGATACAGTTAGTCCTACATAGGAGATAGTAAGTCCTACGTAGGAGATAGTAAGTCCTACGTAGGAGATAGTAAGTCCTACGTAGGAGATAATAAGTCCTTCGTAGGAGATAGTTAGTCTTACGTAGAAGATAATAAGTCCTACGTAGGAGATACTAAGTCCTACGAAGAAGATACTAAGTCCTACGTAGGAGATAAAAAGTCCTACGTAGGAGATAGTTAGTCCTACGTAGAAGATAATAAGTCCTACGTAGGAGATACTAAGTCCTACGAAGAAGATACTAAGTCATACGTAGGAAATGGTGATTCTAGGCCATACTAAGTCATACGTAAGATATAGTTAGTCCTACATAGGAGATAGTAAATCCTACGTAGGAGATAGTAAGTCCTACGTAGGAGATAGTAAGTCCTACGTAGGAGATGAGTGAGTGAGTTAAAGCTTTACGTCACATCGGCAATATCCGTAGGAGATGATAAGTCATACGTAGGAGATACTAAGTCCTACGAAGAAGATACTAAGTCCTACGTAGGAGATAAAAAGTCCTACGTAGGAGATAGTTAGTCCTACGTAGAAGATAATAAGTCCTTCGTAGGAGATACTAAGTCCTACGAAGAAGATACTAAGTCATACGTAGGAGATGGTGATTCTAGGCCATACTAAGTCATACGTAAGATATAGTTAGTCCTACATAGGAGATAGTAAATCCTACGTAGGAGATAGAAAGTCCTACGTAGGAGATAGTAAGTCCTACGTAGGAGATAGTAAGTCCTACGTAGGAGATGAGTGAGTGAGTGAGTTAAAGCTTTACGTCACATCGGCAATATCCGTTGGAGATGATAAGTCCTACGTAGGAGATACTAAGTCCTACGAAGAAGATACTAAGTCCTACGTAGGAGATAAAAAGTCCTACGTAGGAGATAGTTAGTCCTACGTAGAAGATAATAAGTCCTACGTAGGAGATACTAAGTCTTACGAAGAAGATACTAAGTCCTACGTAGGAGATGGTGATTCTAGGCCATACTAAGTCCTACGTAAGATATAGTTAGTCCTACATAGGAGATAGTAAGTCCTACGTAGGAGATAGTAAGTCCTACGTAGGAGATAAAAAGTCCTACGTAGGAGATAGTAAGTCCTACGTAGAAGATACTACAGTCCGTTTGACTCCAAATGAGAACGATGAATTGCAAAATAACTCGAAATCCAGAAAAGTGTATGAAACATCAATACGGTACTTGACCATGAATACCCTTTACCCAACAAAATCTGAATTTTGTTTATTTTAAGACCCATGACGGATGAAGTTCTTTAAGAAACTATCATGTAATTTTGTATAGAAATGTGTACAAGACACGTAGGGGGACAAACCGTGGAAGGAACAGCGCAAGCACAGTCTGCACATGCTACACAGTGACCGTGTTCATTCAATGACAAGATGCGCCACTCAGCATATGTCAAACAGTTGATGTTGAATGTGTATGATTTCTTTAGAAGTGAAGCAGAAAGAGCAAAGCTTTTTTATGCATTTAATAAATTCTTGAAACGAGCTTCAAAAGCTCTTGGTATGTCCCCTCAGAAACTTTAAAATGTTGTTAGTCGACGAGATACAAATAGTCAGGCCAAGGAGGTAGGGAACATGTCAAAACCACGCAAGGTTGATAAATTAGACAGTTTTCAGAGGGATCAAGTCAGACGTGCAATTGTTAAACTACACTCAGAAAATAAGTACCTGTACCTTGAAACTGACCATGATTTACGTGTTACAAAGTACAAACTATGGCAGCTGTTGCATACATTTGGCTACAAATACAAAAAGATAACTGGAGAAAATAGGGCTGTGTTGTGTGAACGGTCTGACATTGTTCGTCTCCGGAATCATTACCTTCGTACCATCAAGCAGAAACGTGAAGAAGGATATGAGCCCGTCTTCTTAGATGAGACATGGGTAAATGCGTCACACACAGCCAGCAGTCAGTGGGTACCCAGTGGTGACTGTAAGGAGTCTGGTAGAAAGTTACCAATCGGAAAGGGTGAAAGACTCATAGTTCTCCATGCTGGTTCTGCTAGTCAGGGTTTTCTCCCGGACTGTGACCTCGTCTTTAGAGCCAAGGCCAAAGACAACAGGGACTACCACACAGAAATGAACGGCAATGTATTCCTGGAGTGGGTGAAAGATAAATTAGTCCCTGCTTTGCCTACCAAGTCTCTCATTGTCATTGACAATGCACCGTATCATAGTGTGCAGGATCCAGAAAGCAAGACTCCAACCTCTAATAACCGTAAAGGAGACATGGTTACTTGGCTGCAACGGAGGAACATTACCTTTCCTTCTCGAGCGACGAAACCACAGCTCTATGAAATCATCAAAACTATGAAACCTGACCCCGTGTATAAAGTTGACAGTTACATCAAGGATCAGGGTCACGCTGTCTTACGACTGCCATCTTATCACTGCGACCTGAATCCAATCGAGTTGGTATGGGGCATCGTCAAGGGTGACGTTGGACGATCGAACACAACGTTCAAATTACGAGACGTTGAACAACTTGTAAAGGAATCCCTTGGTCGGGTAACAGTAGAAACATGGAGGCGTTGTGTGGCCACAGTCGTTGACGAGATAGAGCCACGTTATTGGTCACGAGATGGACTAAGGCCAGCAACAGTCCAACCTATAATAGTGGCAGTCGGTTCAGGCACCAGCAGTTCCGACGACGAGATCTATGGCATGAGCGAGTCAGATTGCGACTGAAATTATCATGAGACGGCCCCTCTAACGCTCTGTCATTTCCCCTACCACAGAACGTGCAGTGCATGCGTGTTTGCGCTGTGCCTTCCACGGTTTGTCCCCCCCTCGTGTCATGTACACATTTCTATACAAAATTACATGATAGTTTCTTAAAGAACTTCATCCGTCATGGGTCTTAAAATAAACAAAATTCAGATTTTGTTGGGTAAAGGGTATTCATGATCAAGTACCGTATTGATGTTTCATACACTTTTCTGGATTTCGAGTTATTTTGCAATTCATCGTTCTCATTTGGAGTCAAACGGACTGTAAGTCCTACGCAGGAGATAATAAGTCCTACGTAGGAGATACTGAGACAAAAAAAATATTTCACCGTGGCCCTACTACGCTTCCGTAAAAGAATTAACTCCTGTTCTGTAGTTGGTGTTGATGTTGTGGATATCCCTGCAGGGTGTAGCCCGTGATTCCTATCGCTAAGTCGTGTAAGTCTTGCAGTGTCCTGTGTTTTGGTTCTTCGATTATAGTCCGACAGACTGTAAACAGTGCCTCATCATTGTCGTTTTCGGTGTAAAACTCGCTTAGTTTGATGCACGTTCGACGGGATTATTGCTACACGTAAATCAAACCTACTTTTTGTTCTGGGTAGGACAATATTACTCGGGTCCAACATTGAGAGTGAGTGAGTGAGCAAAGTTTAACGTCACTTCGGCAATATTTCAGCCATATCGTCCACCATTGAGATTAATCAAAGCCACAGAAGAGTCAAGGGACTAATACAATTTCAGTGTGAGTCTTAACATTCAAGTTATGTAAATGAGGCAATTAGTTAATTATTATATACATAGGTTGAAGTAGATTATTAAACTTGCCAAAATGTGTTTGTTTTAATATCTTGATTAAAATAACTTACACGGGACAAAAAGCCGATTTTTACGCCTATGAAAAAATCCAAATAAAGTAGGAAATGGATGCAATGACCGGTTTTGCTCAGTATTCCCGATATGAACTAACTTTTCATATGAACTACACCTTTGAAACAAGCACCAATGTCGTGAATGCTATGACCGGATGGTCAGAATTTTCCAAATATGACTTCCGAAGTGGATACCCCAGTAAATATTTGCTCAGAGCGTATTTCAAACGCATCTATGTTGATCGTCATTCGATAAATTTTTATCAATTTATAAGGGTTTGAAATATGAGCATTTCCTTGAGCTAGGACACGTTTGTAAATTTGCAAAAACTTTCAAATATGTTTATGCCTTAGAAAGTTATGGATCATTTCGGATATCAGGGGTATGATTCTTGTTTATTTTTTATATTGTCATATTACCGGTACTGGAAAAAGTTGATCGTAGATTTTTCTACCATGTAAAATATTGGGTTTACACATGCTGATACCTTTGAACAATAAGGCTCATGCGACCTAACAAACCTTGTAGCGCTAAGGGTCTGACTGAAAAACAGTATGCAAGCTGATACGTTCCCTTTAGTTCACCAGTTTAGTCACCCGGTTACAAGTTTTTCTGACAATTGTGAGTAGGAGATAGACAGAGCTAATTAATATCTCACTTCAGACACATCATACGAAATATCAATACATTAACATCTTGAACAGATCCTCACACCAGGCACGCAAGCACATGACGCACGCAAATATACTTGCACTGTGCTCGCACACATGTTTTTGTAAAGCACTATGGAGGCGATCGGGTAGCACAGTAGTTAAAGCGTTCGCTCGTCACGCCGAAGACTCGGGTTCGATTCCCGACATGGGTACGATGTGTGAAGCCCATTTCTGGTGTCCCCGCCGTGATATTGCTGGAATATTGCTAAAAGCGGCGTAAAATCAATCTCACTCACTAACTAAAGCACTGTGGCAGTCTTGAAACATTCCCTTAAATTAAATATATGATATAATGTCATACATACATGTTGGTCCGTTTGCAGTGCATTAATCATGCTCAGATAATTTGATAGGGACATCCTCACCTCATTACATGCGAATCATTGTCACACTAGAATATCCGCCGCGAAGAGCTGCAATTTTTGCAAGATAAAGGGACTTCTGTAGTTCAACAACACACGCTTGGAAAATATCAAGATATACACCCGGAACATAGTTAAGCATGTGCCGGAGGTGACGTACATGCAAGTGTGTGTGTGTGTATGGGGGGGGGGGGGGGGGGGCTGGTTGCTTGTACTAGTCCGGGCTAATGCCGGTTTTATAGTGCTGGCCCACTGAGATACCACGACACAGTTTAACATGAATATCCCACTCAGACACAATATACTGACACCGAGCCGACCAGTCCTTGTTTTAACCCCTTAATGCTAAGCGCCAGACAGGGTACCACGTTTTAACGTCTTTTTGTATGACGCAGTCGTGGATCGAAGCATCTAGACCACGAAGGAGGTCGCATGTGCTTTAACGAAATTACTGAAAACATTATCTCGGATTAACGAATGTGATCTGTAAGAACAACCCACTGACAATGAGCAACCACAAACTTTGGCAGCTGAGGTTCGATTGTGATCTGTAAGAACAACCCACTGACAATGAGCAACCACAAACTTTGGCAGCTGAGGTTCGATTCTAATCACGATATTGTGGGCTCAGTCGCCCTTCCATGTCATGGAACAGGAACCTGCTTTCGTCTGAAATGGATTTTCTTCCAGGTTCTCAGATTCCAAGCCCCATACCTAACGGAACCGCCGATGGTGATCTGTCAGTTGGGTGCATTTGGTGACACTTTTACAAGTGGTTACTCAAGGTTCTGGTGGACAAAGTTGCTTCAGAACGAGACTCGTTGCAAATGGCTACGCCATACATGGATAATATGCAGTTATGTTCTGGCAGTCCCAATTCACAGACGCACGCCCAAATCTGTCATGTAACCTTGCGTTGACGTTCGTTAGGGCGCTTCCAGACACGTCCACGCCTATCCAGAAAATCCCGAGTGAATCTCGACTCATCAGAAAATATTACACGACACCATCAACACCATCGACACCATCCCCCAGTTTCTACGCTACAAAGGTGTCTTGGTAGAATGTGGTCGCCGAGCACGCAGATCAGCTGTATGCAGACATTTATAATTTTCTGGTCAGTAACATATACTGTGGTGGCCTGGCGTAAGAGAACAGTGATTTGACTGACTGTTTAGGCTCACTTCATTAAAGCCTGGTTTCTGATTATTCAATCCCGGTCTGGCATTGACCTCTGGCCCGCGCCCTGTGCGGGGCGAAGTATTAACATTATGTCTGCAGAAACATGTTCTAAAGTCTGCAACTAGTTCTACTATTTGAAGTATGCCAATAACCCTTAGGCGTTCATCACGGTGTTGACGACGCATTCCAAATCTGATCACAAATTCTGCATCAAAGCAAGAGTAGATAGCTTACGTGTTCCTGATAATGGAAATCAACAATACTAATGGCTCTGGGAGATTTGACGACCGTTCACTGAAGTGTCAAAATCTAGAATGATCCCCCTATCCACGTGCACGGAGGAATTGCATGGCCCACGTGCAATGTTTCGGGTGTGTTTGGGCGTAACCGTTCTATATTCGGGCAGTTACTTTTCAAAGCTGATCTTACTTCTGACGGCCGACCATGACCATGTGTTTTGTTGGCAGTATGCGGAATCGGAACATGTTCCCGGTATTAATTCTCTCTGTTATAACGCTGCACTTGTGCATACATGAACAGAATCTATCACTTGTACATAATACCATTCAGATTCAAATTTACTGAATAATGATTCATAACAAATTAAAATCTAGTATATTATATAATATGTAACACTATCAATGGGCCAAGACTTCAACATTTTCAAAATCTCGGCATGTTTGGAACATGAACGTGTTCACGAAAAGTGAGGAATGTGGTCATTTGTCGTCTTTGTCAGTTAACTCCGTACCTATAAGTCCATTTGAAGTGTTCATGGTTACAGAAGATTTATTGTCGTAATAACTGTTATGTCAAACTTTCGAAAAGTCATGAGGAAATTCAATCTTAGGGCAATGAAATCAAGCATTAGAAGAAAAATGACCGTCGTTGTGGAATACCATTAAATTTCTAAAAATACCTCCTCTTTTATGCAAATTGTGTGAATGGCGGGTGCTACCGACAGAGCAGGTCGTACTTACCCTTTTTCGCGAACTTTCACTGACTTTTGGCGATCCATTCATATAATGTTCACAGCTACTTTGCCCGTTACGCTAAATGGAATCTGTCTCGGCGGATAATCAAGACCGGTTACTCTCTTGCATTGATGCTTTACATTTAAGTGATCAATTACATCGTTTCTTGGTGTAACCATGGCAGAGCAAACTACACCAAGCACATTTCTATTTAGGTTTAGATTTTGAACACGTTTAGAATCTAAACATTATGCATTCTATACAATTCTAAACAATTAAGGACGTGAACATGTTTCGTAATCAAAACGCAAGAGTAGTTACCTCGTAGTCGTCGTCTTTGTGGGTAGGAACTGCCCACTAAGAATATATAGACATGTGCGTTCACTAATTAATACCTGACATAATTTGAGGATCAGGACTTATGAAAGCAATTTGAACTCGCAGTATTGCCAGAGACCTTAGGTGCAATGGTTACACTATGCAAATAATGGTTTATGGTAATAGGGTTAAGTCATACTTTTAGATTTAGGCTTTTTGTTTTGAAAAATCATTCTTGAAATGCATGACGTAGTTTCCTTCAGGTACTCAATTTGTGCTTTTTTCACAGTTATTCAGTCAACATTCCTCGGACATTATATAATAACGTTCGTTATTCCAACAGAAGATGCAATGGAGGCCAGAAGAAAAACGTTTTCGATGATTAATGAAGAAAAAACTTTAGACATTACAGGCAACATGCGACATGAACTTGAATAATAAAGAAAACACATTAAAAGACATTATTTATGTGCCATAGTCAACTGGACTATATACATTCCCATACATGTTTTAACACGATGGTGAAACAGGTAAACCAATTGATAACTGTGATCTAGAGGAACAGATAGAACCGACACTTGTGATATTCTTTTAGGTGGATAGGTACAGGTTATTAATTCATTCTCATGGAATTCCCTCTTTTAAGATACTACGAAACAGTGTGGGTTTCAGATTTGTTTATGTTGTCAGAGAGAAATAAGTCGCAGAATGCAACCAGTGGGACTATTTTTGTATTCAATTACATATCAGGATTGACCTTTGCATGCGTATTTATTCGGAACATCGCCTTGAAAAAGCGTGTGTATTGTACCGTTATTGTTTGCATGATGTCTGGTTCCTGTAGACCATTGCATGTCTTAATTCCAGATGATTGCATGATGTATAGATCTTGTGACAGACCAAAAGTGCGAGGCCAGTTGCTTCTTTCGGTCGTCAAAATTGTCAGATGTGTCGTTGGATAATTTCTTTGTTATGGAATATTCCATCAGCAGATGAAAAGAGATATTTCAATTTGTACCAAGGATTCCCCTCGTCACGGTATGGCTGAAGTATTGCCAATGTGACGTTAAACTTAAACTCACTCACTCGCCCCATCAAGGATTCCTGCATTGTTATTGGTCCGAAATCTACTTCAGACAGAACATTTTATTTGAAATCACTTCTTTCGAAAAACCCACCAGTTGGCAATAACTAATAATAATTCTCCTCATGAAATATCGCAGATTGTTTACAGCGATTGAGGCAGTAAATTAGTTAGAGTCCTCTTTTATCTATTTTCAGGGTTAAAACTCAAAAATGGGAAAGATCACACATGAGCTTGAAGATCCCATGTTGAACCTTGTGTCCAACTTAATGGACAAGACCGTGGATGAAAACGAATTGATTGAGCTTTTAAAGAAGAATATGGGGAAGCACAAAGGCGAAAAGGGGATCAACAAAGAAAGACTGGTAAACTATAGATTTACTGATGCGGAGAAGAACAAACGTGATACATTACTAGCGTCAGATTCTGGAGAGTCGCTGCTTCATATTGCCGTCAGCTGTAGAAGGAATGCAGTTGCCAAGTTTTTAATTGATTGTGATCCAGGATTAATCAACTGTAAGAGGGAGGGCGATGAGTACTGTGGACAGACGCCTTTCCACATTGCCATTGCCATGGCCAGCTCTGCCACAACGGATCAGCTGGATCTACAGGAAGACATGACTGACACGACAGACATGATGGATAATCAACATCCGCAATTTCTTCCGAAATACATGATTAATGCACTGAAAATTGAAGATGAGAAGAACATTAATGATAAAAAATATCATAGTTTGCTCAAAAAGGCGATGGGAAGTAAAGTTAGAGGAAAGAAATTAAGAGGCACTGTGATGTTAGGAGGGACACCTTTGTCCATTGCTGCTTTGAAGAATGATGGGAGGATGGTAAAACTCCTCCTTAAAAATAACACTGAGCTGCATGATTCAGATAGTGTTGGGAATACAGTTTTTCACTCGCTGGTCCTGTACGCATCTTTCTATCCAGACAAAGAGAGGGACATCATCAACATGATTGATTATTTGGCAAAAAGCGACAAAAAGCGGCAAATTGTACAACTAGAGAATAAACAAAATCAAACAGCTCTCCATCTTGCTGCCGAGTTGGGCCTGGACAACGTGTTTAAACACATACTTGATATGGAAGATGTATACAAGTTCTTCACTAGCCATGACGGCGTTTTTGATATCTACGAGTGTGATGTAACAGAGATTGACAAGGGAACTTGGGATAAAGCTGTTCTTCAGATGTCGCCTGACTTCATGAACACAGGACACAGAGCCGAGGGGCTGGCAAACGGCAAAGTGGAATGTCCCATAGTGACCTATTGGAAGCAATTTAGACGAAGCACAAACCAAAGTATTTTGGAAATCATATGCCGTTTGAAGACAGAGAAGGCATGTAATTTTCTGAAAGTCTACACTGTCCGAGAAGTGGTGTACTTAAAGTGGGAGAAGTACTGGCATTGTTACTATGTCGGCCTGCTTCTTCACTTTTTGCTAATGAGTACACTCACCTACCATTCTGAACGCAAAACTTTTGTCATCCGCAAAGCTGGAGCAAACCATATGGAGACCTGGAACGTCAAGGCTTGGAATGGCGTCTCATTGGCAATAAGTCTCCTTTATATAATTCTAGAATTTCTTCGGAGTTTTGTTTCATGGCAACCTTTTCATTTTACAATACTGCATCACAATGGAGTATACCGATGTATATTTGTGCTGTTTGGTTTTGCGTTACTGATTGACACGGCGTGGAATGCTGAAACTGTTACAAGTAATTACTGGCTGGTGATAGCATTGATCTTTGGTTGGTGGTCAACAACGTTCTTCCTGCGAGGAATCCGACAGTTCAGCTACATAACAGTTATGTTACAGAAGGTCCTCTTTGCGGATATGTTGAAATTTGTACCAATCATTTTCATAATGATTTTAGCATTTACTAGTGCAATGCACTATTCCATGTCGATGGCGGAGGGTCCGCCTGGAAACTCAACAAGGGAGAACTCAACATGTTGTGATGAAAACTCAGATTTTGGGAACTTCACTATCAGTCTAATGACGATGTTTAAAATGATGACCGGTCACGAAGAGATAAAAGGGCTTGAGCAAGCATGGCGGCATGGATCTATCCCAGTCTTTGTCCTTTCTGTGATAGTCATCCAGATGTTCCTCCTCAACATCCTCATCGCTATAATGTCAAAAACATGTGACAACTGCGAGAATACAGATGAACTGCTGTGGCTACAGAGATTGTCGATTGTCTTATTCATTGAAGATATGCTACCTAAATGTCTGAGGACGCCCATCGGGAAAGAGGAAAAGACAGATTATGGCAGTACGCGATATCTTCTTAAAATTGATCGTGTGCGAGTTGGAGACGCTTTATCCGAAGATACGTTTGAACACACTGTCACGTCGAAGGCTGTTAGATCACTGCACAACCTACTGAACAAAACAAAGGTAGGGGAGGAAATGACAACCGGTAGCGACAGAGCCCAACCTGTCCAGTATCTAGTTATTGAAGACTATGGGAGAAGAAAATAAATAAACCAAGACGTCATAGAAAAAGTGACAAGTCACTTACAAAGTGGAAGACTGGATCATTATCAAAAACTAACATATGACCCAACACATGCACCATCGTGGGCTTCGGGCAAGAAGAGGGTTCTTTAGTTACAGCTTACAATCATTTGCCTCCTACACAACCGACAACTTAGAGTTTGGCATATCTGGAAGAATATTATCTCTAGAAAATGGCTCACTTACACATTTGTTATTGTGAAAGTCTGATTGGTTCAAAATGTGGTGTTTATGAACCCGAAAATGTTCCAGATTTATCATATGATAGACAGTTTATTGTGAAGGATTAGAATTTTACCTCTTCAAGATGATATGTCCATGTTATTTGTGAAAACGTCATGACACCTGTATTGTACTTCAGTATATCCAACTGCACTAGATTTATCGGAAATCTTTCACATTTTGTATATTTTTCACCAACAAAAATCGGTTCATTCCACTCACCGCTTTTAGGACGTCACTGTGTTCACAAATGACGTAATCGACTTTTTAGATGATAATCGTCACCTAGGAAAAGTTTAAACAAAGAATTACATTGTATTTACAATGCCGAAAACAATCATTTTTACAATTGGTGTCAAATGAAATAATTGTAAATAAAAAGGAAAATGGTAAACGCTAATTACGCTTAAGTTTTGTAAGTAAGTTGCACCTGCAGTTGAAAGTACTATTTTATAACAACGATAACAATTATTATTGTCATTATGTATTTTTTGTCATGTGTTTTCTATACTATTTCCGAATGAATATATGCTATAGATGCCAGCTATATCCTTCTTTTCTTTATTCCTGTAAATATTTTCATAAATCTCTCCCGTCTCATCAGTCCAGATCTTGCCGTGTTTCATCTGCAGTGTGGGCTACCTCGTCTTTTTAACATAAAATATGATGTCCTTTTGTCTGTGTTGGACATACAGTCTACTTGCTTCTTGGGGATGGTCGGGTAGCCAAGTGGTTTAAGCGTTCGCTCGTCACGCCGAAGACCCGGTTTCGATTCCCGACATGGGTACAATGTGTGAAGCCCATTTTTGGTGTTCCCCGCCGTGATATTGCTGGAATATTGCTAAAAGCGGCGTAAACATTCACTCGCTCACTTTCTCCTTCGAAACACAAGAGCGATTGTTTCAGGCCGGCAATTGTATAGTCTGTAGTAAAGTATTGGAGTGCAAGTTGTCGCCGGACTTCTGTCACAGTAGACTGACAAGATTAGGATTGTGTATGTGTTAACAATGTTGATGTGATTAATTACCAATCCAATTTCGGAAAACAATCTCAAGCGAAGATACTCAACGTCACCACACCCGCCACCGATGAATGTAATCATCCCAAAGGAATCTCCAAGTACACACATGTACTGTGATTTTTACCAGTATTTTACAAATGACGTTGGCGTATTACGATCCGTGTTTCTTGAACTTGAACTTTGGTTTTGTAGCAAATGTCTTATACGGTTCCTAGTTAATGACAGTTAAGTCATGGATGCAGCTTTTACTTAAAGAAGAGTTATATTTAAGTGTGACGCTCACACCTTTTTGATGTGCCATAATTTTCCTTTATAGGTTGTGTATATTGTTATATTTTGTATTGTTGTCGTTCGATTGTTGTTTAACGCCGCACTCAGCAATATTCAAGCTATATGACCGCGGTCTGCAAATTATCGAGTCTGGACCAGACAACCCAGTGATTGACATCATGAGCATCGATCCACGCAATTGGGATACGATGACATGCATCAACCAAGTCAGCGAGCCTGACCACCCGATCCAGCTAATCGCCTCTTACGACAAGTATAGTCGTCTTTTACAACAAGCATGGGTTTCTGAAGACCTATTCTACCCTGGATCTTCACGGGTCTATATTGATGTCGTCGACTTCTGGTTATTTTATGATTGTACTACCATGATCCCCGTGGGGATCCCGGGTTTGAGTTGGTCCCCAACAAGCTTTGCTGGTCGCAAGAGGCAAATTAATGGATCGGATGGTCAGGCTCGGTGACTTGGTTCATTACCGTGTCATGATATCCCGACGGCGTGGATAGTTATTATCAAACTATTAAAATCACAGGATTATCTAGTCCAGACTCGATTATTTACAGGCCGCCAGCTGGAATGATGCTGATTGCGACGTCATACAACAAAGAAACAAATCTTTGATGAGGTCATTGTTACACAAGGTTTAGAATACAATAGCTGTGGTCAATACACATCTTCTTCTTTATCTGCAATTGTTTAATGAGCAACTTGCCATGATAACGTGTTGCCTTTATGAATATACCGTCTAACTTCGTGAAGAAACGGCTTCCTCAATGGGACCTCTCTACGTTTGTCAATTCAGCATTGGTTTTCCCACTGGCATGGTATATGATAACGAGCTGACAGGTATACTAAAACCAGTATATCAGAATAAGGGAGATCCACTTGATGCCAACTCGTATCTCCGCATTATGATGTTTAGTTGGAGAAGGTGTTCACTTAGTCTAGTATACTTAACGGTAGATAACAGCTTTGTGATGCACACTATTATGCATACATGTGTATGTGGGCACGTCTATTGATTTTACCAGCAGTTGATTGATAAATATTATCCTAGGTTTGTTTCAAAATTAATAATATATTATAATAATTGCATATACACCCATTTCTATATCGCATGTACCATAAGCCCATAGCCTTTCAATATTATGAATAAACAGTATGAGACGTTTGCCAAATCTTCTAACAACGGGTGAGAACTCTTACTTATGAGACGGCCAGTTGCAAAATTCCAACAAATATAGAAAAACGTAAATGTATTGCATTACCCAAATTCGATTGCCAACTAGATTTTACTGCAATAGCACGTACGGCAGCGTGGTCTGCTATTAGGGCTTTGGGCTTGCTAATTTCCAAAGAAAAGACCAAAGGCGGTATGCATTTCCAAACCGATTCCGAATTGTACGATAGTAAGGTGTGGTCAGTTTTTGACTACGGGGCGGCTATTTGGGTTAAATTGCTGAATATAGGAATATATATTGTTATATATATTGTTACACAAGGTTTAGAATACAATAGCTGTGGTCAATACACATCTTCTTCTTTATCTGCAATTGTTTAATGAGCAACTTGCCATGATAACGTGTTGCCTTTATGAATATACCGTCTAACTTCGTGAAGAAACGGCTTCCTCAATGGGACCTCTCTACGTTTGTCAATTCAGCATTGGTTTTCCCACTGGCATGGTATATGATAACGAGCTGACAGGTATACTAAAACCAGTATATCAGAATAAGGGAGATCCACTTGATGCCAACTCGTATCTCCGCATTATGATGTTTAGTTGGAGAAGGTGTTCACTTAGTCTAGTATACTTAACGGTAGATAACAGCTTTGTGATGCACACTATTATGCATACATGTGTATGTGGGCACGTCTATTGATTTTACCAGCAGTTGATTGATAAATATTATCCTAGGTTTGTTTCAAAATTAATAATATATTATAATAATTGCATATACACCCATTTCTATATCGCATGTACCATAAGCCCATAGCCTTTCAATATTATGAATAAACAGTATGAGACGTTTGCCAAATCTTCTAACAACGGGTGAGAACTCTTACTTATGAGACGGCCAGTTGCAAAATTCCAACAAATATAGAAAAACGTAAATGTATTGCATTACCCAAATTCGATTGCCAACTAGATTTTACTGCAATAGCACGTACGGCAGCGTGGTCTGCTATTAGGGCTTTGGGCTTGCTAATTTCCAAAGAAAAGACCAAAGGCGGTATGCATTTCCAAACCGATTCCGAATTGTACGATAGTAAGGTGTGGTCAGTTTTTGACTACGGGGCGGCTATTTGGGTTAAATTGCTGAATATCATAGAGCCATTAAATGAAAAGTCTTTTCACTCTAATGACAGCGTAGAAGACGGGATTCATGTTTTGCTTCACTGCGTACCATAGGCAGGGCAGGGCAGGGCAGGGCAGGGCAGGGCAGGGCAGGACGATATCAGGGCACCTCTTTTTAATGAATGTATTGTTAAGTTAGATAAACCTGATATCGACAAACTTTGTTTTATATATTTAATGATGCCAGTGTGTGTTTTATACTTTTATACCTTATACTTTTATACTTTTTATACTGCTTTTTAATTCTTAATCGTAGAAAGCATCTTTTATATGGATAACCTTTTATTAGATAATCCTTATTGCATATCTGTACGAATTGTATGATAATTTGTCTCTCATAATTCTATTGAATGGTTCTGTACATTTTATCAATGTTTATTTGTACAAAGTTGTTTTATGCATGTACATAAGTGAGACATAAGTGTGTGTGTCTGTCTGTACGGATTAATGTCGGCAGTATAGTGCTAGCTCACTGAGATACCATGCCGCAGTTTGACATGAATACCCCACTCAGACACATCACACTGACTCCGAGCAGACCAGTCCTTGTTTTAGCCCCTTAATGCCAAGCGCCAGGCAGGGTAACAACAAACAACATCTTTAAACGTCACTTGGTTGGAGATCAGACCAGCGACCTTCTGCTCTCCCAGCAGACACTCTACCCACTGGACCACTAGCGGACAGGTATAATTAAAACAGTATATGAGAAGAAAGAAGACTCACTTGATCATGACTCATTTCGCCGGATTATGATGTTCGTTTGGAAAGCTGTTCACCAGTATTCTTAACGTTACATAACAGCTTTGTGATGCGCGCAATGAATATGAATATCTTTGCGAGTTTATTGATTTTACCAAAGCTTTCGATAATGTATGGGTTTAATAGGTTTGTTGTTTAAACTATCAAAAATAGCACATTTGGGCTTTTAGTGAAGTCATGGAGGTTGTTGGAGAGTGTTTGGACGTTTTCCCAGTTGTATGGCGCAGCAATTCGGTGTGCAGAGTTGCGTCCCTGGGCACACAAGAAACCTATGATTGTGGGTCCGAATCCCGATTCGCCTCGATTATGTTTCTAGGTTTGTCAGTACCATACACGTGCTCGTGGGTTTCACCGAAGTGGTAAACGTCTAAGACCTGTATCACTTGGGGCTTTCCTCCCACATTAAGCTGACACGCCGTGATATAACTGGAATACTGTTAAAAGCAGCGTTAAACACAACTCACTCACACACACATTCTAATAGTAGTTCATGCCATGTAAAAGAGCAAGAAATATACCCTTACCATTTGACTGGTTTCTAAAAGTAGTTCATGTTACAGGTAGGAGCCAGAATTCTAAACATCCATACTCCATACATTCATATTCCATACACACATATTCCACATATCCATATTGCATTAATCCATACTCCACATATCTATATAATAAAAAGTATATTCCATACATCCATAGTCAATATTCCATAACACCAATATTCCACAAATCCATTCATCCATACACCAATATTGCATCCACTCATATTCTATACATCCATATTCCATACATCCATTTTCCACACATCCATATTCCACACATCCATATTCTACACATCCATATTTCATACACCCATAGTCCATACACAAATATTCCGTCAACTCATATTCCATACATCCATATTTAACACATCCATATTCCACACACCCATATTCCATACACAAATATTTCATACACCTATAGTCCATACACAAATATTCTATTGTTTTTGTGTGTGTTTATTTGTTATTTTTGGTTTAATTCATATTTTTTTTATTCATATTTTTTCAAGTTATTTATCTTTGATCATACAGTTATAGAGTGCAGTTCTGACAAATGAGTAGATGATCAGAAGATTATATTATGATTGACATGACTGTATAATGTTACAGTTTGTAAACTAATCCTTTTCCCTGTATATGATTATATTGCTTACACATTTGGATAACGTCTTCTTTCTGTCGAGTATCATAGTTTTCTTTTTTCCGTTTTCTACTCCATTGGTCCCAATTATACTCTCGCCCTTCTCATGCTTGATAAGCCCGTTTTTATTTTTCTTGTTTGTTTAAATCTCAACACACTGTGGTATGAATCAAGACAGAAAATAAC